CAATGGTTACTAATCTGCATACACATTCAGTTATAAACAAATTACAATACTGAAAAACAAATATCTGTATGTATAACAGTGCCACTCAACGAATGTCATGAAAATAAGGCCTACGAAGGGGGACCCAAAAATAACCGGAAACGACCTGTTGCGCGCGCATGCTTTGTAGTTACGAGTTGTGCTGCTAGGTGGTGTTAGCTGGGGGTCTATCGCGACTGTTAGTGAGCTGGCGTCAGTCTGAGTTAAGTGGTTTGTCTGTGGTGCTCTGTTGTGTGCGTTCCTGTTTCAACCATTTGGCGATTAGTGAGATGGCCGACCAGAAGGAACAAAGAGTGTGCGTGAAATTTTGCTGTTAGGGAAAACTGCACTTCACCCTTCAAGTCGCGGCAAACATTCACGCGGTTTTCTCTTTGGTCATCTCCAAGCAAGCGAGGAACAAATTTTGCAGACACCCGTCTCATGTGCAAACCTTCGGTTAAAATTCGCTGGACCGTGCTCCATGAGATGTTCGTTTCCTCAGAAAGTTGGTCAATGGTCTTTCGACAATCTTCATCAATTTCACGCACACTCTTTGTTCCTTCTGGTCAGCGATCTCACTAATCGCGAAAGGGTTGAAACAGGAACGCACACAACAGAGCACCACAGACAAACCACTTAACTCAGACTGACGCCAGCTCACTAACAGTCGCGGGAGACCCCCAGCTAACACCACCTTGCAGCACAACTCATAACTACAAAGCATGCGCGTGCAACAGGTCGTTTCCGGTTATTTTTGGGTCCCCCCTCCTATATACTGAAACATATCTTTGAGAAGTATGTAAATGTTGGTAACAATTAAAAAATGTAAAACAACATGGAAACTAAACAACTGTATTAAATTTCAGTTTTACAGTGACTATGAATGAAATAATGTAGTTGTAAATTTTGTATTAAGACATACTACACATAAAATTACAAACTGAAAAACTGTTCATATGTCAACAGTTACAAACATGGTGATGGTGCAAACCTGAGATAAAATATGACATATTTAATTTAGAATTTGTATTGAAATAAGACAGTACTATTGTATGACAGTGTTAGTATCTAGATTACCACACTGCATAGTAGGCTAATTCATGAATGTATATGGTTTGGAAGTAGTTCTGGTCTAATCGAGGAATTATCCCAATAAATAGATGGTCAGACTGTTGAAAACCATGAAAAACCTTGTATAAGACAGCTGGTGTCCTGGCCAAGATTCAAACCAAGCACTCCTCAAATAGAAGTCCACAGTAGGTGATCATTACACCATCCCAACAGGTGTGTAATGCAGTAGTAACAACTTCCCACAAAGAAAAAATAATAATATTCTGTGAATAATATACATATCAATGTAGGGAATAAAATAAGTACAGGTAGAACAGCAGGCTGTCCCTTCCAATAAATTACATCATTTTATTACTGGGAAATAAATCAGCATTATCAAACTATGATGTTACTTCTAGATTAATTGAATTGCAACATAAATTAAACTGACAAAAAATGGAAACACATGAAGTCTGTGCCTAAATAACACAAATGACCCCATCAATTAACTCTGTGGGAACTGCCCACATTCAAGCAAGTGTGAAAACGCAAGCGTCATTGCTTGAATGTGGGCAGTTCCCACAACTCAAAAGGAAAGAGACTTTCTCCATGGGATTTCAAGTTTAATGGAATGAAATGCCTTTACAAGTTCTCCAGAAGGCCTCCTCCTTCACCAAAATCTGTGATAAATATAGGTCAAACAAAAACTTCAGAACTTTCCATTTATGAAAAGTTTTGTAGGTCAAACTTCTTGTTTTGTCAAAGAGCCTCTAATGAATGCCATAAATTATGCCCTTATAAATAAATATCCTAACCCCCCGACCTTAAACCCCAGACCTCATTTGGGATTCTGGTCTGTTTTGGTAAGTTACTTATTTCTTCATGATTTTGGCTCAGGAACTATGAGACATCCTGCCTTAAAGCCTTCTTGCAGATATATATCACATTACACTGATTTACCAATACAACTACAGTAATAATGTAATTATTTGAGTTTGATCAGATATGACCTCATGTAGGACTCTTCAAAGTTTCATTTCTGAGTAGCCATCTCCTTCCTGTGTTTAAAAATTATATGGAATACTGAGGAATAAATACAATAAAGACATCAAGCAAAACATGTGAAATAGTACTCACATTCAAATATAATAATTAAGTTAACTATTATCATCAAACAAGAATTTCAGATGGAACTGAAAGAGACAATGGATGTAATGATGAAAGCTCTACATCAATTCATCTAACTTGCAACACAAACATCCCATTTTCAATACTTGTCCATTCAAATTACAACAGAACCCCAAAAAAGTTCCACAGATAGCAAAGAAATCTCATTTATGTAACAGAACCTTTTCTGCAGACTTAAATATGGTTAACTGGTGAAGTTAATTTCAAAGAAGGAATACATTTCCTATGAGGACAATCTTTTGGGATGTGATATCATGTAGTTTCACAGACAGGTACCAGTTACCTATCAAACTACACAGCATCACATTCCCGAAGTCCCTTGTAATCTTAATATCCACCATGTGCAAACTTCAAATTTGATATATTATCTAGGTGGACATACAAAACTGTTCAAAGAATTACAAATATCAAGACATAAACAATACTAGAAATCCAAAGGTAGAAAATATATTTGGTGCCACTTTCTTTCAGAGATGATCTGACATAATTTCTTTTCCCTCCCATGTTACTGACAAGTGTGTTTTGAAAATTGTGTATAACACTGAAATGATGTACATATTATGATAACTATTCTACACATTCTACTATTTATGCTAGCTAGTACATTTTATATTTGTGTATTTTTTTTAAATGCATCAACTCAAACTGCAATACAGTCCTGTATAAGCATCTTCTTGGTCTTCCCTTCTTTCCAAATCAAGATTTTGTATATTTATCTTGTTGTTTCTCATGTTCAAGCTATGTGTCAGGCCAATCATGCCTGCACTCCACAAATTAAGGATTTCTTGATTATGCAATATTCTTCATTACACTGCATTTGCCATCTCCACTGTGCCAACATACTTTCATCAGTACATGAGCATTTAAATATGTGAATGTAATTTATACAGGTAAGAACAAGAACGTTCCTTCTTGGTCTCAGAAAGCACTCAGCTTGTGCGCACGCACGCACGCACACACACACACACACACACACATATTTATGGTATCAACAGTAGATGGAAATGAAAAATTTTCTGTCAGTAATTCTACCAGGTTAAGAGAGCCTCCAGAAAAGAAAGTTAGTTTGTAAAGCCTGATCACATACCTTTAGTTACACTGAACAGTGACAGTGAGGAAACTGAAAATGGCAACACTGAAACTGTGGATGATTAAATACGAATATGAATAACCTGGGCCAGATCAGACATTGTTGCAACAGGATCCAGCACCTTCACAGCGTGCTCATGTAAATGCCACTACAGAGACGCCAGACATCCCCAATCTACCTGACACCTCTGAAGTAGCTGAACAAACAAGATCATCAGACACTACAACAGCAAGCAAGTTCAAAGTGGACACAGCCACCTCACCCTGGGAAGTGCAAAGTACATGACCATACATGAGGTCCCAGAGGTGAGAACAATAATGATGTGCCATACATAAATGACAGCTCCATTTACTTGGCAATTTTCTGTTGTTTTTAGGAGAAGTAGACACATTGCTGGTACTGGAAGATGATGCTATCACCATTACTTAAGACAAAGTTAATGATGGACCATCTCCTTTATCTGACGTGACTGCATACAAAACAATTCTCTCTCTGGCTATAACAATATTAATGAGACACTGCACATGAGACTAACAGACTACTGAGCAAAACCGGATAAGTTTTACTGCCTTTATATGGCAACTTGATATAATGAAATACCAACACGTCCTTTGTTTCTTACTACTCAGACAGAGGAAAGACAAAAATTACAACACTATGGAAAATTCGAGATGTATCTGAAATTACGAAGAAAGTATTTTATAAACTTTTTACAACCCTTCTGAACATCTGGCAACAGACACAGTTATTGTTCTCTTCAAAGGAAGAGTCATTTTCAAACAGAACAGTCCAAACAGCTCAAACATTTCAGCATAAAAATATAGAAAATTTGTGACCCCATTGGCTACACATGAGATGAAATTGTACAATGGGAAGAACAAAACACATATGGCTTGACAGCTACATATGCTACTGTGACAAAACTTACTAGGGAAGTAGAAGGACGAGGTCACAAACTGCATGCAGACAATTTCTTCTCTTCTCCTGCCTTATTTGATGACCTGACCAAGAAAATAAATAAACTTCTGTGGGACTGAGCTGCAGTGCCACAGAAGTTCACCTCGAGAGGTAAGACAAAAGCCAGAGTAAACTGTCAGAAATGTGAGGTACATTTATGTGTGGACAAAAACTGGTTTCCACTGTAAATCTTCTGCAAGAGCAATTCCTTATGCAAATCTGAGGTCTCCAATGGTAATAGGTAACTCAAAATGTAAAAACTTTTGGGCTTTTAGTACATACTTACCCAACTAAGACACCAACAACACTATAGAAACTGTGCAATCTGTTTTATTTGCATAAAAATGGCATTTATTCCATAATTTTATCATTCTTACTTTAGATAATATTGAAATTTTTCATAGAGCATGCACTAAAACTTAAATGCCCATAAAAATGTATGGCTGTTCTCACTATGGCATTTAAATGCTCAAATGCCAGTCATTTAAAGGTTAATAGGAAATACCAGTTTCACAGTCTGTAATAATCTGCAGTTCAATGTTTGGTGTTACT